ACATTTTAGGGTCCATAACTACGCTAGGCTACAATTGAGTACACACCCCTAACGAGGAAGAAATTTGACAAGAGGTCAGTAGTCGTCTTCGAAGAATGGACCCCAGGAAGTTTCATTTTTTTGAAGTTTTTAAAATAGGCTGGATTAGGCCTGTTCGGACCAGTAATTTGCTTCTTCATGTCTGTGTCGTCTCTACTGATACCTTCAGTTCTAGTGCATTCCTTTTACGTTTGCAAAAAGTCTTATAATCATGTCCGTTGCCACTCAGGTGTTTTGTTCACAGAATTCTTGGCCATGTTTGGGGGAGTTTTGGGGGAGCATCACCAAATATTGTTTTGTACAATAGGTTTCTGTTTTATTTTGTTTTGTTTTGTTTGAGACAGAGTTTCCTCTGTCCAACCCAGGTGCTGCTTGGAGTATAGTGGCACAATCACGGTTCAGGGCAACCTCAACCTCCTGGACTTAAGTGATCCTCCCACCTCAGCCTCCCAAGTAGCTGGCAACACCATGCTCAGCTCATTTTAAAATTTTTTGTACAGATGAGGTCTCACCATATTGCTCAGGTTGGTCTCTAACTCCTGGATTCAAGCAACCCACCCGCCTCAGCCTCCCAAGGTGCTGGGATTGGCCGGGCGCGGTGGCTCACGCCTGTAATCCCAGAACTTTGGGAGGCTGAGGCGGGTGAATCACCTGAGGCCAGGAGTTCAAAACCACCCTGGCCAACATGGCAAAACCCTGTCTCTACTAAAAATACAAAAATTAGCCAGGCATGGTGGCAGGCGCCTGTAATCCTAGCCACGCGGGAGGCTGAGGTGGGAGAATCGCCTGAACCCGAGAGGCAGAGGTTGCAGTGAGCTGAGATCATGCCACTGCACTCCAGCCTGGGCAACAAGAACAAAACTCCGTCTCAAAAAAAAAAAAAAATCAGAAAAGTCAAGAGCACTGGATGGGCACAGTGGCTCATGCCTGTAATCCCAGCACTTTGGGAGGCCAAAGTGGGTGGATCACTTGAGGTCAGGAGTTCAAGACCAGCCTGGCCAACATGGTGAAACCCCATCTCCACTAAAAGTACAAAAAAATTAGCTGGGCATGGTAGCGCATGCCTGTAATCCCAGCTACTCAGGAGGCTGAAGCAGGAGAATTGCTTGAACCCAGGAGGCGGAGGTTGCAGTGAGCTGAGATTGCGCCACTGCACGGCAGCCTGGGTGACATAGCAAGACTGCATCTCAAAAAAAAAAAAAAAGAAAGAAAGAAAGAAAAAGGAAAAAAAGAAAAGAAAAGAGCATAACTCTGGAGTCAGGCTGCCAGAATTCAAATTCTGGGGCACCTCATGCTGGCAATGCAACCTCTCAAATTCCTTACTTTACCTAACAATATAGGGTAATTGTAGTGCACACACCATAAGATTTTTGTAAGGTAAATGAAATGATATAGGTCAAATTGTACTTAGAACAGCATGTAGTGAGTTCTCAATAAACGTTAACTATTATTATTGCTAAATATTCCACATGTATGTTCGATATTATTGAAATGTCATTTTATTTAAGCACTGAAAAAAATATTGTTTTTAAATGATATTTTGACAGTGCAGTTTTAATAAGAAGTGAGGGCAGAAAGAAATGTCTGCTTATCAATCGGGGAGCCTAGAGAAAGAAGTTTCGCCTAAAAGAAAGACTTTAGACATCACCCCTACCCCAAGCTGTATCTACACAAAAAGCTTCTCCCAATTATAATTATTTTGGTGAATTTGGCAACCGTATTCACACAAATGCTGGAGGAGGCCAGGATCCGCCTGCTGCTGTGTGTAAGGGAGGCAGAGGCCTTGGCTGTGAACCATAGCTAAAGCTCAGGGCAAATCAGGTCACAGGCCTGCCTGCCGTTCCGCCTGTGGGGTTATAGCGTAAATACAAAATTGGATTAAACATCATTTTCTGCAGATATAGCTTCATATAGACAATCTGTATGCATGCAGGCAAAGACCACATTGGAGGGCCTTCTCTCCACAACCCAGTGCTAATGCTAGTCAGGTTTGGGGGTGCCGAGGACCCCTAATGTGCATTCCTGGACCCTAGATGGGTCTTGCTTCATCAGCACGATTTCCCCTCTCCTAACAGCTCTCTGGTTGCTAAGAGATTGTTTTCAGATCTAAGGGCTCACTCTTTGTCCTATTCCAGACCACAGCAGGGTTTACTTTCCCTCTTATGAGTTTGCCAGGAGCAAAAAGTAACATCCCAACCTCCTGTCAACTCAACAAGAGATTTATTGCAATTAACTAAAAGGACACTTGTTACTACAGGAATACCATATGCTTCAGCAAAGATAGGATCCCAGCTTGCGGCTGGCCTCTGCAAACAGTCAGGGGCCTGCCAACACAGCCTTTTTTGGTTGTACAGTCATTAACAGTGCAGCCTCCAGACCCAGGAATGTTTCCAAGGTGCAGCTGGCACTCAGATAGTGAGGTCATCTCCAGAGCAGTTGTTCCCAACTGGCTGCTGCAACCACAACAGGCTTTTTGTTTAAACTGCTGGACCCCCTACTCAGTGATCACCCTCCTTTTCTTTCTTACCAACAGAATCTGAGGTATATTAGGGGCAGCGTTGTTCTCAGCTAAAAATACTACATTTCCCAGCCTGCCTTGCATGGTCAAGATCGGTGGCTTGCAAGGTGAAGTCCCCCAGAGATTTACGGGAAAATTTTGCTTTCCTGGTATACATGCTGCCCTTCACCCTCTCTGCCTACCTCTCTTTAGTGTTTGCATTTTGTGAAGGCTAATTTGGCTGATTCTAGGTTTCCTTTCCATTCCTTCCCAGGTTGTAATTATTCGAATGTTTTGAATTGTTCAAAAGTTTTGAATTGTTCAAACATTTTGAGACTGCTGGAAGTCTGATTTCCAGGCAATAAGGGAATTCTTGTATATGCGTTGATTACTTTAAAAAATTGATTCATATAGTTTTATCTGAATATTCTAAGTGAAAATGATTAAACATCTGCCCTTTTTCAAAGTTACTGATTCATACACAAGGAAACATAGAACTATGAAATTAATTACAGAAAGATAAAAAAGTTTGAGAAATGAGCAATTTATTTCAATAAAGAGAAAGCATTAATTTTGCTACAGTGGGAAAAAAATGAACTCGAGAGTTGCTACGTTTAACTGTATCCCCATTTATCTCTGCACAATGTCTTTATCTCAGTGTCTCAATTCACACGAAAATATTGAATGAGAAATATACCATGTTGGCTGATTGCTTGACATATCTGATTTAGGGAGACTTCTACAGCCACTCCTCTCCTTTTTCTCCCAGTAAATACTTTTGACTTTGACACTTACCATATTGGAAATGACAGGTGCCGGAAGGCAAGTGCATCAAAGCAGTTAGGATCCGAATGTTTGCTAAGGATTACTTTTTTAATGGAGCAGTTTTATTGAATCCTTAAAACGCAGAACCCAATGAATCTCCTTTATTGTGAAACAAAACAATTCAAATGATTGCAAACCCAGGAACCTAACAGAGAAGCACTTGAACATTTAGAACAAACATACTTATTTTTCAAACTTTGACATTTTTGTGAAGTACACTTAACATCTAAATATCCCTCTCCCTTCTTCTCTTTACAACATACGATTTCAAACTGTTTGTTTATAGAATGAAGGCCTTGAGGAAAAGCATTATTCACATCCCCGTAAAAGAAATAAATAAATATTTGTTTCTAGAATCAATCTGACTGAACTTGACTAAATCTTGATAGAGGCTCCAATCTTACTCACACATAAGGGGATGGATGATCTTTTGTTATCAACAAATTCTCATTAACATAGCTAAACAGTTAATTAAATTATTCAAATGCATTTCTTGAGTTCCTACTATGTGCAAAGCATTGTTCCAAAGTAGACACTCTTCCTTAGAAATAAAGTGGGTCACTGAAATCATAACTTCAAAAGTATAGAACTTTTGATACACACACAATATTCTAATGACAGGAAAGTTTGCTGCTGCTGTTAGGGCTTCTGCTTCCAGAATTGCCCAGTTTATTTCTAGGGACTAGCTCAGGCATTGGAAGAATATAACTTAAACTTAAGCATTAATAAAAGATGGAGTTAGGGAATGGTTGTACCTTTATGCCATAACACAACTAACAATGTGAAGTACATTCCGGTGATCTAAAATGCTAGCATCTGGCCAGGCGAGGTGGCTCATGCCTGTAATCCCAGCACCTTGGGAGGCCAAGGTGGGTGAATCACATAAGGCCAGGAGTTCAAGACCAGCCTGGCCAACATAGTGAAACCGTGTCTCTACTAAAAATATAAAAAATTAGCCGGATGTGCCGCTGCACGTCTGTAATCCCAGCTACTCAGGAGGCTGAGGCAGTAGAATCGCTGGAACCCAGGAGTCGGAGGTTGTAGTGAGCCGAGATCAAACCACTATACTCCAGCCTAGGTGACAGAGTGTCTCAAAAAAAAAAAAAAAAAAAAAAAAAAAAAAAAAAAAAAAATTTTTTTTTTTTTTTTTTTTTTTTTTTTTGAGACGGAGTCTCGCTCTGTCCCCCTGGCTGGAGTGCAGTGGCGCGATCTCCGCTCACTGCAAGCTCCGCCTCCCGGGTTCACGCCATTCTCCTGCCTCAGCCTCCCAAGTAGCTGGGACTACAGGAGCCCGCCACCACGCCCGGCTAATTTTTTGTATTTTTAGTAGAGACGGGGTTTCACCGTGGTCTCGATTTCCTGACCTTGTGATCCGCCTGCCTCGGCCTCCCAAAGTGCTGGGATTATAGGCGTGAGCCACCGCGCCCGGCCGATAAATTTCAAAATAAACCAGACCAATACAGACCAATTGCGATTTATAGGAAAAATAAAAATACAGAAGCATCACCTCCTCTCCGCAACCCCGGCACTGAAATTATACTTCCTCAGACATGCTGCCATCATTGGGAAGGGTGGGGGCAGATTTGGTACATTTACAGAATTTTAAATAATTAAATAACAGAGGCACAGTTTTTGCATGTATGGTCCCAAAGACTTTTCAACTTACTTTTCAACATTACGGTTGTTAAGAATGGAAACTGAAGGAATTGTATACATTTTCGCTGACAGTTTCTTACAGACCCCGAAGTGAAAATGCAACACATCACCAGCATAAGACGGAATATTTTGTCTGTCACCCATAAGACATAACTTGATAGGACACCAGGCTTGCAAGGTCTAAGTGCTTCCTTCACATACCTCTAAACTTTTTATCTTTCCTGAACTAAATAGGTTCCTTTTCCAGGTCAAGTGTTATCTTCTGGTAAAATACCTTCAGGATAAATATGCTGCCTCAGTTATATATCCCACAATGCAAGCCTCCATTACAAGCTTAAACTCAGCTCCTGGTCTTGCTCTTTAAGACTCTCCGCACTTACTTAAAAGGATCACTTAAAACACTAGAGAATAAAAGTCTCCCTGAAGGAGAGAGACATTCAAGGAAAGCAATGCTATTTCCAGCCCATGCCCTGCCTTAGAAACTCAAACTTAATCTCATCTCTTGCAAAGAGCCTCAGCAGTCTCCCATTTAGAAACTTGCTCTTATTATTTTCTAAATGTGGTGGTTAAATAAAATTAAATGCAAACAATAAACAATAATTAAATTACAAACTTAAAATAAATAAAAAATACATGGACTGGCGCTTTTCAGAGAAGGTAATAATAGAGGAAGGTCAGTTTCGGGAATTTCACGTTCCTTTCTGTACCAGTTTCTACAATAGATGGGAAACACTGCCCTCTAATGGACTGACAGTGTTACATCCCTTAGTTCGTACAGTGAGACACTGCCTCAGGATGCACGTACGGGTGCTCGCGCGCTCTCTCTCTCTCATTTTGGCTTCTGGGACACAGTATGTCCTTGGTCATCTGTGAATGACTCTGAAGACCGTGGAGTCCCTAGAGAAGCTGCGAAACTTCGTGAAAGCTCATCAAGGGGATTAGAAGTTAGCATTTGTTGCAGTGGTTTTCAAACCTTAGTGTGCCGCAGAACCACGGAGAGAAATTGTTTAAACTCAGGTTGCCGGGCTCCACATCCAGAGTTTCTGATTCCATAAGTCAGGGGGATTGTGTCCAAGAATTTGCCTTTCTAACAAGTTCCCGGGTGGTGTTAATCTGCCATTCCAGGTACTACACTATATGAGCCAGCACTATGCTAGGCACTTTGGCTCATTTAATATCTCACAACCGGATGAGGTTTTATCATCTTTGTTTTACACAGTCAAAGACAGATTAGGTGGCTACACTCACACAGTAGTGACAAAGCCTGTCTCAAGCCCAGGATTGTCTAACTCAACCCATCACTCTCTTCTGAACACAATGATGTCGGGAAATGAAGTTGGCAGTCGCTCCATCTATCGGGCCCTCAGCTTCTTCATGTGAGGGAGCAGGACTTAGATGATGGTTTAACCGGCTTCCCCTCTGAGTACTTGGAGGACTGGATTGGGAGCCACTCAGGAAAGGCCTACTGCATACTCAGGCTGTATCTGGGAGTGGGTAAGCTGAAGGGAAAGGGAAGAGGAGGACTTGTCAACACCAGGGCCCTCTCTGAGTTCTGAACCGTCCTACAACGTTTAGAGAAGGGCTGATTTGCTCTGGATTCTGCAGTTCTTTGTATCAGACATTCTGGAAGAGAGGCAAATGCCTTCTTTCATGGGCATTTTGAGGACTTCAAAGACTAGTAGGACTTGGAGAGGACCCAGAGGGCGGCACTCTCTCCAGTCTCAGGTCAGGCCACCAGGGCAGGGTCAGGGACCCCGAAGTAACTTTCAAACAGTAGTGCCTGCCCAGCTGTGTTTAGACAGAAAGGTTTTGATAAAGGAAAAAGAGTTTTGGGGTCACATTCTTCCACTAGGATCACACAACTGAAAAGTCCGTAGCACTCAAGCCCAGGCAGATGTCACAGTGATGGGAAAAGAAGGGCTCTGGGGACCCACCCACTTCAAAACCAGTTTTTCTCATCCTTTGCCTTCGGCTCCTAACCCAGCGTGGTGTTTTCCTAAGGGAGCTACAAAATCTGGAGCATCCCATGGGGATGATTTGCTGGCCTCGGTCATTAGGGGGAAAGGATGTTCTCAGAAAAACAGCCCTGCACGCTGGTCAGCAGAGATCTTGAGGTCGTGGCCACGGCTGTACTTGGTGCAGAGCTGGACCCGAGACTCCAGCTGTTCGCTGAGTTCGTCCAGAGCCCCCGTGCAGGACTCCAGGCTCTCGGCCAGTTTCTGAACTTTGGCCTTCAGCACGGCCTGGCTAACCTTGGTGTCCCCCTCCGCCCGCCTGGGGATGAGGAAGCCACGTGAGCCGAAGAAGACGATGAAGTAGACAGAATTGTACAGGGCGATGGAGGCGTTCCTGCCGCACTGCAGCAGCTGGCGGTCCCCGCAGCCTTGCCAGCGGCAGAAGAACTCCAGGCAGCTCAGGATCTCCCGCATCTGGTCCTGGCAGGTGGCCGCGATCTCCTGCACCCTCCGCAGCTCCCGGGAGTTGCAGAAGATCAGCGAGAGGTCGGACGTGATGGTGACAGCCCCTCCGGCTGTGGCCACCCCCAGCCCCACGGCCGACGCCAGCAGCGAGGTCCCCAGGGTGACCGGGCTGAGCGAGAGCCCCACGATGGCTGCGAGGGCGCCTGTTGCGCTCAGCGAGCTGCCAGCCACATTGGCCACCAGGGAGCGCCTGCGCAGGCGCTCCAGGCGCCGGGCCACCTCGCGCAGGCGCAGCACCTGGCCGTGCAGCCGGCCTCGGCGGTCCAGCAGCAGCCCCTGGAAGCGCCTCAGTGCGTCCGGCCCATGTGGCTCCCGGGCTGCCGGCCTCTCCATTCCCTGCGGGGACACAGACACGCGGTCAGCCTGGAGTCTCCGTGCCAGCCGCCGCTCCCTCCCTGCTGCCTGGACGCCAGCGGGAAGTTGGCACGAGTTCAGCGGAGCAGCCACTGCCCCGCTAGGGGAACGGGTCTATTTCCAGTGGATCATGAATCAAGTTCCCAAAGACCTGTTCTGGAATCGGGGGGAGCCACACAAGTTCTCAGGACCTTATCTCTGCATATGGAAATAGGAATAATGCTATCTTCTGCTTCTCTCCCAGGGAACGCTAAGGATGGGTTTCATCAGCTATGTGTTAAATAAGATTTAAACTGGGAGGGGCGTGGTATTAGAAGACTTCTCCAATACTGAGGCCTTTGCTCTATTTAAGATAACACTTTGTAAGTGGTGGGTTGTACAGTTTACAAAGCCCTTTCATCTTATGAAAATTGGATCCTAGGAGTTTTGCAACACACTTTTCTCTCTCTCTAATGTATGAAAAAGACGTCACCAAAATCTCAAAAATCATATTTTCTACCAAGCAGAAGAAACTAATCTAAGTTAGATGCTTGCCTGAAGCAACTCTTTTGCTTGTGATTCTTCCAGGCTCTTTTCTTAGAATCAAACCTAAAGTGAGGTTTGCGTTGTTTATTCTAACTAGGGCTCCTTAGATCTTCAGAAACATCAATCTTTGCTGGGTGCTTAATTTAAACTCAGTCACATTAAATTAATACCATTATGTCTCTTTGTTATGAACGTTTTCTTTTAAAAATGAGTAATGGTTGAATAAGATAAAGCGGCCAAAATTTTTGTTCAACAGCTTGTACCACGCTGAAGCCAACTGAAGATGACTGACAAAGATACTAACAAGTTGTACATCTTGGGGGAAAAGTACATTCATCCTCGTTGCCAAGATTCCCACCTTCATGTCCACTGTAGTCTTCATTATTAGGAACTTCTTAGAAGTGGCAAATGAGCCATAGAAATAGAGCATTTCAAAACTGAGCTATCAGGGCAGAAATCATTCTCGTCTGGAAGAATTGCCTGCATCAGACATCAGATTCTAGAAGCAGCTGATTCTTCACAGAGCCCAGTCTAGAATCCTGATCTCCTTACTCATAGGACTTAATTTTACTTCCATGCTTCCATAATCCAACCCACCAGGGGTAATTTTCCAGGTAAAAAGAGAAAATGAGAAAAAATCATCCCGAATATATGCCTCGGGGTTCCCCACTTACCATTCACTTCTGTCTGCCTCCAGGAAAGTAAAATCTGAGGCTGTTTCTGGATGAGTGTGCTTTATAGTCCCAGAGAACCAATGGCTGCCCTGGGAAAGCCTTGTCTCATTCTGAGAATTTGCCATTTCCTGTCCTGACCCCTGCTGCCTTCATCCAGAAGGACGTGACATGGTGGAAAATGGCCTGCCAGCACAGCACATCCCGTATTTAGGAAACGAACATTGTGTGTTCGCTTTCCCCTGAACGCAGGAAGAGAACCACAGGCTCTTCCCTAACTTGAAACAAGTGTGTTGTCATTCTCCCAGGGGGATACCCTGCCTTTCCTGAGAATAGCTAATGACGCCATAGGGAAGGCCTTCAAACGCACCCCCGGCTGACCAATTATAGTGTTTCTTGAGGCCACCATTACAAAATCATATTTTAAAAGAAAAGGGAGGGGGTGGAAAACCCTCATATCTGATATAGCCACTCATACTCCACTGCTGTATTTTTAAAAGCATTGTGAATCTGTGAGTGGCTGGAGCCTGTGATCCATTTGGCATGCGGCGGGTACCCTGCAGCCCTAAGAATGCAAGGCCACACCCGCAGGAAGTGCTGCATGCAGTTTTGGGCATCCCCAGCTGTGGAGAAGACATTGGAGGTCTCAGAAAGGGCACACTCTAGGCCACATGCATCAGAAAAATCAGTGGGGTCAGGTTGCACGAGGAGCTAATTATATGCTTTCAACCGCAGCAGGGAATTGGCTTCCCAGGTTTTCATTTGAAGTAGCAATTGTAGCCCATGTGACAGGGAAATGAGTGGATTCTGTCTACAGGGTAGCGAGGCATGGGCTGAAGGGCAATTATTTTGACAATTCAGCAGGAAAAAGTGAGTGTAGCTTCTGTGGACTTGCTGCAGACCAGATCAGATGGAACACAGATATCTCTGGGGCATTCAGAGGTCGTTGGAGCTCAGCCTAGGAATTCAGTCCTACTATATGGCCCCAAATCCATCCATCGTCCTTCTAACCCTCTCCTCCAGAAAAGGAGGGCCAAATTCGTTTCTCACTTGAATAAGGATTATCTCAACTGTCTGGCTGACCTGGAAAGCCTTAACAGCCATATCATTCTGGATCATGATTCATGATCCACCTTTATGACTATACTTTGTATTTATCAACACAGTATAGCAACAGTAGCAGCAGTAGCAACAGTACTATTTGCTACTACTCACAACCATAGTCCTTTCACACTTGATTATTCTAGATTTGATCTACTTCCAAATACTCTTCTTACAGCTCCTCAAAGGATAACTGTAACCTCAATCTAGATGCCTCCAGGGTGTCCTTTGGAGGTTAGAAGTGGAAGAACATCCTCCTCTGTCTCCATCGACATGGACACTCCAAACCGGATGCGGGCCAGGGTGAATTGGGGAGGTAGACAGGAGGGAACGTACCCCTAATTCTTCAGCTGACATATGTTCCTCTAACTTCCCTGGACATCATCTTGTGTGTTTTGGGTTTAGAGGAACACAATTAAATATTTTATAGATGAGGAATATTGCTGGGATACAGGGTCTTCTTCAGAGCATCAACATCATAGTACAGAGGTAGGATGAAGAACCAGAAGGTAGAGGAGAATAGACAGCATGTATACTGACCCCAGCCCATCTCTTGGAATTTGTTTTTCTCTGTGTTGAAACCCCATTTTCTTTGTATTTGCCTCTTTATGGAGGCAAAAAAAATTGAGTTCATTGACAGTTTGGGCTAAAGTTTTACTGCCCATAAAAACCTGGTACTTTGGCCATTCATGGTGGCCCATGACTATAATCCCAGCACTTTGGGAGGCAGAGGAGGGAGGGTCACTTGAAGTCAGGAGTTCAAGACCAGCCTGGCCGACATAATGAGACCCCATCTTTACAAGAAATTTAAAAATTGGCTGGGCATAGTGATTCACACCTGTAGTCCTAGCTATACAGGAGGCTGAGGCAGGAGGATCACTTGCGCCCCGGAGGTCAAGGCTGCAGTGAGCTATAATGGTACCACTGCAATGCAGCCTAGGTGATAGAGTGAAACCTTGTCTCAAAAAAACAAAACAAAACAAAACAAAACAAAAACAAAAAACAAAACAAAAACAAAAAACAACTGGGGCTGAGTGTGGTGGCTCACCACTGTAATCCCAGCACTTTGGGAGGCTGAGGCTGGTGGATCACCTGAAGTCAGGAGTTCGAGACCAGCCTGACCAACATAGTGAAACCCCGTCCCTACTAAAAATGCAAAAAAATTAACTGTGTGTGGTGGCACGCACCTGTAGTATCAGCTACTCAGGAGGCTGAGGCAGGAAGATCACTTCAACCTGGGAGGCAGAGGTTGCAGTGAGCCAAGATCACACCACTGTACTCCAGCCTGGGTAACAGAGTAAGACTCTGTCTCTAAAAAAAAAAAAAAAAAAACCCCAACTGGTACTTCACCTTGTTTGTAAGAACTAACACTTGAACTTAACAATTTCAATTCAGCATTTGTTTACATTTATTTATTTATTTATTTATTTATTTATTTATTTTTGAGACAGAGTCTCAGTCTGTCACCCAGGCTAGAGTGCAGTGGCATGATCTCAGCTCACTGCAATCTCCGCCTCCCGGGTTCAAGCGATTCTGCTGCCTCAGCCTCCCAAGAAACTGGGACTACAGGTGCACACCACTACATCTGCTTAATTTTTGTATTTTTAGTAGAGACAGGGTTTCTCCATGTTGGACAGGCTGGTCTCGAACTCCTGACCTCAGGTGATCTGCCTGCCTCGCCCTCCTAACTGCTGGTATTACAGGCATGAGCCACCATGCCCAGCCAGCATTAATTTCATATAGTAAAGACACAATAAGACATTTTAGGAACAAATGAAGGCATTTTGATCAAAAGTTCTGTGTGGTCAGTTTCCCCAAAAAAGTATGTGGACCACATCCTCAAACTTCTTTTTAAAATTGTTTTCTGGACACTTCCAACACATCACCCTAGAGAGACTACATTGAAAATGGTGGTTGGCCCTCAAAGTAGCCTTCAGATCTCTTCAATTCTTTTTTTTTTTTTTTTTTTTTTGAGTCAGGGTCTCGCTCTGTCACTCAGGCGTAATGGCACGATCACGCCTCACTACAGCCTCGACCTCCTGAGCTCAAGCAATCCTCCCGCCTCATTTTTTGACTTTTTGTAGAGACAAGTTCTCACTGTGTTGAACTCTTGAAGCAGCTGAACTGTGGCATTAGCTATACTAGCTTGAATTCTGAGTCCTCGAACCATAAGGAAATTCAGTGTAGGAAGGAAGAGAGATAGACAGCTTTTTAAGCATAGGAATCTTCAGGCCCCAGCCCTAGACAATCTAATTCAAGTGATCTGAAGTGGGATCTGGGAAAATACAGGTGATTCCTACCTGCAGCCGGGTTTGTGAACCACTGCTCTAGGAACTGGTAGTTTTGTTTCGTTTTGTTTTGTTTTGTTGAGACAGAGTCTCGCTCTGTTACCCAGGCTGGAGTGCAGTGGTGCGATCTCGGCTCACTGCAATCTCTGCCTCCCAGATTCAAACAATTCTCCTGCCTCAGCCTTCCAAGTAGCTGGGATTACAGGCACTCACCATCATGCCCAGCTAATTTTTGTATCTTTAGTATAGATGGGGTTTCACATTGTTGGCCAAGCAGGTCTCAAACTCCTGACCTCAGGTGATCTGCCCGCGTCAGCCTCCCAAAGTGCTAGGATTACAGGCATGAGCCACCACGCCCAGTCAGAACTGGTAGTTTTCTGACCACCTGTTACATGGCAGCAGAAATAGTAAGTCTAGTGGAAAGGACAATGTTAGCTAGGCGTTTTTATAGTTATCAACAACCCATTTGCTTTAGGCCCCTACTTAAAACTATCACATTTTAAAGATTAAGTGGGCCGGGCGCCGTGGCTCACGCCTGTAATCCCAGCACTTTGGGAGGCTGAGGCGGGTGGATCACAAGGTCAGGAGTTCAAGACCAGCCTGGCCAAGATGGTGAAACCCTGTCTCTACTAAAAATACCAAAAAAATTAGCTGGGCAAGGTGGCGGGCGCCTGTAATCCCAGCTACTCGGGAGACTGAGGCAGAGAATCGCTTGAACCCGGGAGGTGGAGGTTGCAGTGAGCTGAGATCATGCCACTGCACTCCAGCCTAGGTGACAGAGTGAGACTCCATCTCAAAAAAAAAAAAAAAAAAAAGAAAAGAAAAAAGATAAAGTGATAATTATGCTCAAGGCCTTTCAAAGGCCTGGGCCACTTCCATTTTTTGAGGCTCTCAGTTATTTTATTTTTTATTTTTTTGAGTTGGAGTTTCGCTCTTGTTGCCCAGGCAATGGCGTGATTTTGGCTCACTGCAACCTCCGCCTCCCGGGTTCAAACAATTCTCCTGCCTCAGCCACCCAAGTAGCTGGGATTACAAGTGCCTGCCACCACACCTGGCTAATCTTTTGTATTTTTAGTAGAGATGGGGTTTCATCATGTTGGCCAGGCTGGTCTCGAACTCCTGACCTCAGGTGATCCACCCGCCTCGGCCTCCCAAAGTGCCAGGATTATAGGTGTGAGCCACAACACCTTGCCTCTCAGTTGATTTTTTAAAATGAAGAAATTCTATAATGGAATATAAAAAATTGTGGCTTATTTCTTTTAATTGCAATGTACTATATCTTATAATGTCAATATTTTGCTATTCACAATATAGTCACAGGATTTATAAAATATTAATTCATTTTATTAATATTGTGGAAAAGTGGCACAAGATTAAAGTTATATGGTGATGGCTTTTTGCTTTTAATCCTTAACAGTATATCTCAGTGACTAAATATAGGACCTCTTTTGGAGACATCAAAAATATGAAATTGAGGCCGGGCATGGTGGCTCACCCTGCAATTCCAGCACTTTGGGAGGCTGAGGTGGAAGACTCACTTGAGCCCAGGAGTATGATACCAGCCTGGGCAGCATGGCAAAACCCCATCTCTACAAAAAATACAAAATTAGCTGGGCATGGTGGCCTGCGCCTGCAGTCCCAGCTACTGGGAAGGTTGAGGTGGGAGGATGGCTTGAGCCCGGGAGACAGAGGTTACAGTGAGCCAAGATTGCTCCACTGCACTCCAGCCTGGGTGGCAGAGCCAGACTCTGTCTCAAAATAAATAAATAAATAAAATTAAAATAAAAAATAAAATTGAGACAACTTGTGAATGTGAGGTTTTGTCCAAAGGTCTTGCAGACTTTCCTTTGTCATCTGTTCTAATATGTACATTCACCAAAATAAAAATAAATTCGGACAGGTGCAGTGGCTCATGTCTGTAATCCCAGCACTTTGGGAGGCTGAGGCAGGCGCCTCAGTGGTGTGTGCCTGTAGTCCCAGCTACTTGGGAGGCTAAGCTGGGAAGATGGTTTTGAGCCTGGGAGGTGAGGCTGCAGTGAGCCGAGATCACACCACTGCACTCCAGCCTGGGCAATAGAGCCAGACCTTGTTTAAAAAAAAAAAAAAAAAAAAAAAAACAAAAAAAAAAAAAAAAAAAAGGAAATTAAAATAATAACACATATTCACCTGAGTATTTTTGCCCATGATTTTGTGAATTTCCCCAGAACGTAAGTGCTCTAGAACATAGTCAAGCTCTCATAGTTGCTTGTTGAATTTAACTAAAGAAAAATGCAGGCCGGGCGCGGTGGCTCAAGCCTGTAATCCTAGCAACTTTGGGAGGCCGAGATGGGCGGATCACGAGGTCAGGAGATCAAGACCATCCTGGCTAACCCGGTGAAATCCCGTCTCTACTAAAAAATACAAAAAACTAGCCGGTGTGGTGGCGGGCGCCTGTAGTCCCAGCTACTCGGGAGGCTGAGGCAGGAGAATGGCGTGAACCCGGGAGGCGGAGCTTGCAGTGAGCTGAGATCCGGCCACTGCACTCCAGCCTGGGCGACAGAGCGAGACTTTGTTCACTTAAAGAAATATCATTATTTTATAACAATTTTATGAGAATTTAACATAAAATTTTCTCTTGGACTATACAGCTTGGTATAACTTAGAATACTTATTCTGCAGAAGACTTCTAGGATATCTATATTGCATGGAATCTCAAGTATTATTGTCAAAAATTCGTGGAACTGCACAAGTACTGTAGTCCGGCCATTTTCATTTCTCCAAATCGGCCTCCAATCTTTGTTAATGTACACACACATCCTTAATCACTAGTATTTAAACACTAGCCTGTGTTCTTTTTTCTACTTAACGTTCCTGCAGATAGATACACACTTGTCTATGTTGACAAAGTCCTCACCTCTGTCATTTTTTAATAGCTATGTAATAATCCTATTGTTTGCTTAGTCGTTTCCCTGTTAGACACTTGGATTGCTTCCAGGTTTTTCACTGTTATAACTAGAGTTGCCAGGACATCTGTGTACATTTTTTTTCCTTTGGATTATTTCTTTGAGGAGTATTCACACACGGGAAAATACCAACTCAAGGAGAATGATCATCTTCATCGTTTTTGTTATATATCGCTATATTGCTTTCCGGAAGAACCCATTTATAATGCCACCAGCTTTTGTAAGAATAGAGGCAGAAGGCTTTCAGAATTTTCTTTCTTTTTTTTTTTTTTTTTTTTTTTTGAGACAGAGTCTCGCTCTGTCGCCCAGGCTGGAGTGCAGTGGCGCGATCTCAGCTCACTGCAAGCTCCGCCTCCCAGGTTCCCGCCATCTCCTACCTCAGCCTCCCGAGTAGCTGGGACTACAGGCGCCCGCCACCTCGCCCGGCTAATTTTTTGTATTTTTAGTAGAGACGGGGTTTCACCGTTGT